GACCAGGACCCGAGCACTTGGTTTTCTTCTTAGAGCAGACACAAGTATTTATTGGGAAATCTCCTGAACAGCAGGTGCCAGGGATACAAAGTGGAATGAGACAGCTCTGCTTTCAGGGAGCATGCCGTCTAGTGGGGAGCCCAGATAAATCAGCAAGCCCACCTTGGGATAAGAGAAAAGGCAAGATGCTATCAGGATGAAAAAGGGAGGCTGCTTTAGGTTGGGTGTCAACAGGGATCTCAGACAAAGTGATAAAAAGCCCAGGTCCAAAAGGTGAATGAGATTAGCCGGATGTATTAGTTCACTAGGGCTTCCAAAACAAACTGCCACAGACTGGATGGCTTAAACAACAGACGTTTATTTCCTCGCAGTTCCAGATGCTTAGAAGTGTGACATGGGGTGGGATCAGCACCGGTTTCTTCTGAAGCCTCTCTCCTTGGCTTGCAGGTGTCTTATCCCTGTGTCTCTGTACCTGTGTGACCTTCATCTCTTTTATAAGGACACCAGTCACACTGGCTTAGGCCTCACCTGAATAACCTCATTTTCAGTTAATCTCTTCTTTTGTGTGTGTGTTCTGAGATTTCTGTTTTGTTTTTCTTTTTTTCTTTTTTATTTGTTTACTTTTTTTTTAAGATTTATTTATTCATGCATACAAGAACTGGGGTACAGGCCAGACGTGCGGGAGGGTAAGAGGATTCACCAGAGACAGAGCAGGGAGCAGAACAGGCAGACTGACTGAAATACACTGCTGAGGGGAGCAGTGGGCGAGACAGGAGAGGTCTGCTGTGTCATGTGGGACCCTCTCCGGGCAGCCGGGATCCAACCAGCACTGCAGAGGCTGCGGACAGGTTTACGGTGCTGTGCTTAACCACCTGCACCACCAGGGCAGCCCTCACTTAATCTTCTTTAAAGGTCCTGTCTCCAAATGCAGTCATATTCTGAGATACCAGGGTTTAGGGCTTCCCCATATAATTTGGGGTTTGGGAGGCAGGTGAGAGAGCTCAACCCATCGAACACAAAACACTGGGTGAAAAGAGGGTGGAAGCATCAGGGCCAGGAAGCAGCATGCGGGAGGCCCCACCGCAGGGAGGACATTTGTGTTTGAGGAGGTGGTTGCAAAGGAGGTGGCAGTGGTAGGCAGGGGCTGGGTCCTGCTGGGCCTTGTCATCCATGACAGGAGTTTCAGATTTATTATAAAGGCACCAGGGACATTAAAAAACCTCTCTCTGCTGTGTGGAGAAAGAGCTGGGGGTGGTGAGAAGCGAGTGTTAGGAGGTTGGTTTATGTCGGAGTGTCTCCACCACGGTCCCGTTGCCATTTCAGTCTCTGTGTTGTTGATTGTGGATGTAGGACAGCATCCCTGGCTTCTGCCACTAGGTACCATAACCAGTGGTCTCCAGAGATCCCCTGGAGGGCACAAGTGCCCCCTTTTGAGAACCAGTGGATTGGCGAGGGCAGCCGGGAATGGCCACTGCCAGTTTGGTGAGACACAGTTGGTGGGTTTGAGGAAGATTTTTGAAGATAAAATCAACAGGATTTAACCTCTCTGCTTTGGTTACTCCTTGGGCTTTTGAGTTTGACACTATTGTCACTTCCCTGAGGCTCTGTGACCTCTTCTACTGAATGGGGGTTTTGGGAGCAGGCCTGGAGCTGAGGACACCAGGCCTGGAGTCGAAGACACCAGGCGAGCTCTCTCTCTTGGTTCTTCTTGTCTTTGGCAGGGAAATAATTCAACATTGAAACCAGAGTCATACAGAAAAGCAAAAGATTTACTGGTAGATAAGAGGCAGGACAGGAAAGCTCTCTAGCAGAGAAGGGTCTCGAGTGGGGAGCCTCTGAGGGAGCAAGAAGTAGGTGCTTATATGGGTATAGTTGGCAAGGGGTAGGGGCTTGGTTTTGGATGTTTCCAAGTTGTATCTCTCATGGATTGACTGGGGCCCACAGGACCTCCTAGGTTACCAGGGCCCTCTGAGGTTTCCCACATTACCTGGCCTGCCTTCCCGAGACGGGCTTTGGTTCATTGCTTTGGATTTGTGTTACTGTGCATGTTCTGAACATTCCACTTTTTACTGTGTTGGGGGGCGGGGTGCCCAGATTCCCATCATTTGTTTCTCGTTTGGTGTGATAGGTGGGTTTAGGATACCTGGACTTGGGGAACCTCCCTGTTTCCCACCGATTCTTACTCATATTGATAAATGGGCTTGGAGCTCCCTGATCCTAATTGACTACCTGTTCCCATCTCCTAAACTCCCCATTCAATGGTGGAGGAATTGCTCAGTAGAACTCAGAGCTGGTGCCTCTGTGTTGTCATTCACCAGGCCCCAGGGACCCCGGTCCTGCCGGAAAAGCACTTGGAGCCCGCGGCTGGCGGGACCACCTGCGTGCAGCAGACGTGGTGTTTAGTCTCTGCCTCACACCCTTTCATCCGTCAGGACCATGTGCCGCCTGCCTGCTGACTCGCAGAGCCAGCTCCTTGGAATCTAATCTGGCCAATTTTCTGGCTCCGGAAATCTGTTTATCAGAACAAGATTTCACAGTTGTAGTGACTTTTCCAGGGGGCTCGCCTTGGAGGAGCTGGCGCTACAAAAGCACGTGTGAGTGATTTCCAAACCAAACAGAGTGACAGCTCCTTTCTTGGAGCCCTGGAGAGTTGCCTGCTTGCTGGTGGGGCTCGCTGGAATGTGTGTGTTTTCTGGATTCAGCCTTTTGTGTCTGGCAGGGATCCAGCACCTGACTATTGTCCTGGACGCCTGTCATCCCCCCTATGGCATCTGCTCTCCCCAGGGATGGGGGTAGGTTTTGTGTTCTCAGGGGTGGGGGTCTTGGGAGGGATTCTGGTACTGCATCTGGGCTCAGTGGACAGTCCCATGACCTGGGGTGTCCGACTTAGTAGGAAAACGGGTAGAATGGGGCATAGCACATTTGCGGGTCCTCGTAGCCAGAGCTGTGTGCCTTTTTATCCCATTGCCTCCTGCTCATGGACTGAGCCTCCTGCGTGGTGTTTGCCGACACTGTTCTCTAGGCCTGAGAAAAGCAAGAGATTCACTGGTAGATAAGAGGGAGGACTTATTTTCCCTTTTCGTGTATCTATCTGTGTCTCCCACAAATGCCACCTTTTACCTGGAGCCCTTTTTTAATGCCGTGAATTTCAACTTTATCCTAAGAGTAATGGGGAGCCATTCAGTGACTTTGTAAAGAAAGGAAGAGTCATGATCGTGTAGCGAGGTCTCACTGGCCACAGGAGGGACTCGGGATATGGGAAGGCCACATTGGGGGACTGTGGCTGTAATCTCAGTAAGAGACAGTAGTGACCTGGGCTGGAGTCGTGGCTGGAGCAGTGGTCACGAGCATGTTTGCGGGGTGATGGAATGGCACTGGGACAAGGGGCATTTATAGGGTGCCGATATGGGTAGTGGGACAGACTGAGGCCTCTCTGGATTCTCTCTTAGAATTTTCCCAGTGAACTCTGAAAGCTCATTTTCAGTAGGGAGACATGCGCAGACATTATTAATTCAGTACAATGGGGAGTGGGTCTGCAAGGAACACCATGGCACTGGGTTGATGTGATCCCACTTGTGCTGGCCTTGTGCTGGGCCCTTTCCATTTGGTTGCTGCAAAATATTTTCAGTATCGCCCAGAAGTACCTAGGCTGTGCTGCAGAGAAAGTGCTCATTTCTGCTTGGAGAAGCCAGGGAATCTCAGAGAGGGAGTGCAACATAAAAAGTCTGTGCTAAAGGGTGTGCAGGGAGATACTAGGTGATCCACATGCTGAGGGACATTCCAGTGAGAAGAGGTGCACATATAAGGGACAGTGCATGAAAGATGTAATGTTGGGGCCCTGAATGTTCAGAGCGAGAGAAGCTTCTCCCCAGCAAAGCTTGCGGAAGGGGATCATGGACCCTGCCTTCCCTCTCCTCGCCTGGGAGACACCCTCTTGTTGCATGGAAATGGAATCTTTAGTGCACTTGCTGCCTTTCCAGCCAGAAAGGAGGAGTCTTAGCTTTCATCTCTGCATCAGTAGGGCCCTTGTCTAAGGATCTGGTCATAAATATTCTATAACCGCTTGAAGTTATTGGACTTCAAGCAGTTCAATAAGTTCAATAACTTATTGACAACTCAGGAGGGAGCCCTGAAGCTGTGCTTGCTGAGGGACTGGTCTTCCCCCCTTAGCCCTCCCCAAGAAAGAGATATTCGTTGTCTCCCAGCCATTGATTCCATTAGCCCAGACCAGTTAGATTCTGGCTCCCTTGAAAATCTGCCCCCAGGGTCCAGTGGCAGGTGTATCCAGCACACCCTGCCTACACAACCTCGGCTTGGCCTGTTAGCTTTCAGCCTGAGTTGGTGGCACCATTTACTGACTGTATTCAGTGGAGCTGAATCTAAACCTTGGGACTCGGTCCTAAACCTCCAGCAACTTCTGGCATGCAGTTCAGTGACCTGGGTGCCTTCTTGGAGGTTAGAAGATCTGAGATAAGCTCTAGCTTGGCCTGCCCTCTCTTTGCGACCTCGGGCAGGTCAGTTTTATGCGCAAGACTCCTATTTCCTAAAGTGAAGTCATATCCCAGTATTCCTGCCAACTGGACCCGTGTTATGGAGTCTGTGCTTGTAGGGCCACAGGTCAGACGCCTGCAAAGAGCCCACGGTTCCCACTGATGGGAACATTGGGTCACTGGTCCTGGAACCTCCATTCTTAGTCACTGCTGATGAACGGGAAAGAAGGTTTCGATCTTACAACTGATCTTTTTGATGGAGAAAGAAAGAAAAAAAGCCCAACCTATTTTGTGCCAGGCACCTGATAAGGACTTTCCCAATATTTCTCCATTTAGTACAGAGCTTATCAGTCCATCTCACAGATGAGGAAACAGGCCCGGAGGAGTGATGGCTCCAACCCAAAAGTCTCCCTTATACAACCATGAGGATCAGGAGCCCTTCCACCCGTGAGCCTCGGGTCCTTGCTGGCACGGCCTCACGGTCTGACCCCCTGTCTCTCTCTCCCATAGAGAGCCAGCTGCTCCCTGGGAACAACTTCACCAACGAGTGCAACATTCCTGGCAACTTCATGTGCAGCAACGGCAGGTGCATCCCCGGCGCCTGGCAGTGCGACGGGCTTCCCGACTGCTTTGACAAGAGCGACGAGAAGGAGTGCCGTGAGTGACCGGGCCTGGACTGGGGGTGTGGGTGTGGGGTGGGTCCTGCAGACTCTGCTGTGGCAGGCGGGTGAGCTGGGCTTGCATGGATTCCAAATTCAGGGATTCAGCCACCTGCGAATGTCAGTGGGCCCACTATAAAGGACCTGGAACATCTGTGCATTTTGGTATAATGGTGGGGGATCCAGACAACAGTTCCCCTTGCAATCAAGGGCTGACTATGGTTAAGTTTGGGGGAGTCAAAGGTTATATGCAGTGTTTTTTGCCTGTCACCATCTCTCACCCATGTGTTGTTCAAGGCTTAACTGTATTCTGCTTGCATGTGCCCTTTTCTCTGTCCACATGGCGTGGCCTGGTCATCATCTTCAAATGGGCAACTTCAGGACAGGCCTGGGTGTGTCTTTGTCCCTCTCTGCCCTTCTTCTTCAACCTGTATAATAGGCATGAGACTTGGGTTAGTGGTAATCTAGGAGCAAAGGGAGGCACCTGGGGTGTGAGTTGAGGGGCGTCCAGGCTGTCAAATGATAATGATTTTTGCTCCATGGAGGACAATTTCTTGTGCTCGCTGGAACATAGGTAGCACCACAGAGTGAGCTTGGCCATGGTGCCCTGGCAGGTGGAGAGCTGGGCCAAGGCCTCTAGTGGGTCACTTTCTTGAGGCCACGTGGTTCCTGGCTCTGCTGTGGGCTTTGGGCACCAGGCCAGGGGGCCTCTCTGGCAGGAGAATTCTGCATGCTGACTTTTCATCTTCTGGACGCCAACTGAGGAAATGAGTGAGGAGAGATGATAATTTGAACTTTTAACATCACTCTTACGGGAATTTGAGTCCCAGTCTGTTGACTCATGGGAAGGAGCCCTGGGTTCGGAGCCAGACCCCTTCCCTTGCGATGTGCCCCCTTGGAAGGCTGTCTGCTCCCATACGGCCCCAGCGCCATGAAGGGCCCAGTGTCCCTGCTCCTGCCCAGCCCTTTGGAGAAGTTTGTTGGGGAGGGGTTTGGTTGAGAATTTGTCTTCTTGGGGGTTATTTTACTTTGTTGGATGTGATTTTTTTTTTGAATAGACCATATACATTATGCATTATTATTTTTGAAGAATCAAAAAAAATTGTGACTTTTTTTCTGGCTTCCTCTGTTTCTAGCATGGCTTCAAAATTATCCTGCGGTTGTCATTTAACATATTGACATTTACTGTTCTTAATTTGAATTTCACATGAGAGTATGTGTGAACTCTCTATTCTGTGCAGTTTTGAGCATTTTTAAACATGCTACAAATATGTGGATGGCCATTTTTAGAATATGGTGTGTATTTGAACTCTAGTCAATGCAGATTGGCTTTAGCTGAGCTGGGACTGTCAGCAAAGGATAAGTTTGTGAAAGAATGCAGGATTGGGACTTGAGACTGCAGTTTTATTCCCAGCTTTGTGAAGAGCAGCTGTGTGCTATTTACTGGTATATTCTGTGACATACTGTGTCCTCTCTCAATCTACTTCCGTGATTTCAGAATTCATGTGCAAACTAGAAAGATTGTGGAGAGTATATAATAATAATAATAACAACAACAACAACAACAACAAAGGTGGTGCAGACAGCTGCCTGGAGCTGTTTGGTTTGGTTTGGAACAGGCTTAACTTGGCTAGTCTCCATTTTTTCCTCCTCATTTCCTGCCCTTAACCCTCAAGTGTAATGGAACCATCATTAGCATTGGCTTAATCCCTTGATCAAAACATAGTTTTAAAAACCATACATACAGACAGATGCATAAGAAACCCATTTTCCCGTTGTTCTTCTTTTTTTGATGTTTTAATTACAAAAGAGAAGAATTCTGGAAAACTTATACAGTGAAGGGAAGAAAAAGAAGTTCCTTTTGTGAAACCTATCCTACTTTCATTTTAAATTTTTTACCTATTCCCCGCCAGAGGAGGACTTGGACATGAGCTCTGCAGAAAGACTATGTCCAAATCCCACATCTTCTCCACCCTCCCAGCACCCATACTGTGATCTTAGGGAGGTTCCCAGGATGTCCTGAACCTTAGGCACTGGGAGCACTAAATAACAATTCTTGAACTCCCTCATGCCTGGTGTCCTAGTCTCTCCTAGCCAAAACAAGAATAATAAAGCTTCTCATGCCTCACGATGTTGTGAATTTTAATCTATATATAGCCCACGGCGCAGTGCTGCATGTAGTAAGTGAGTTGGAAGCACTATTATTGGTCCGTCTGCAGAAACGACTGTACAGGCACGTGCGATTGGGTGACCTGCTCTTTTCTCCTTCACGTTAGTGGCCCCTGATCATGTTACCTTATTTCATATTCATCGTCGTTGTCTAGTGAGGTGACCTGTTGGTTCATGAAGTACATGCACTGTGACTTGGTCATGTTCTTTTGTTGGGTGTTTAAGTCTCTGGCTATTTCACCTTGGCTGAACAAGATGGCCCATGCCAGGTAAGGAAGTGACCCCAATGGGGTGACAGAGACCAGTTGAGTGGGGCTGAGTGTCCATCGTAGCAGCCCCACCATCTTTCCAGAGGCTTCTGAGAGGGGCCTGTTTCAAATCCATGCCGCCTCCTTCAAGGGAAGAGAATAGCACCTGTGTCTTGGTGGGAAGCAAAAAAAAAGCCTTCTTTGATTCTGCAGAACAACTTGATATTCAGGCGGAGGAGAGGTGAAGGTGCCCTCGTTCTCACCTGCAAGAGGTGATGTCCTCAGGTGCCCTGTGAAGTGGCTCTGGCCTTTAGAAGATAATACACTAGAAAAAAGAGAATTCTGCCCTTTGCATAGGGGGAGAAAAGAGCCAGGAAAGGTCGAGGTGGGATATGAGGTAATGAGCTGCTCGTCTGTATCCACAAGCTAGTCTGTATCCACGATGGGGGAAAGGTTTTCATGAGACAGGAAGAAAGTTTATTAATCATAAAAGTAATAAAATTACATATCATAAAAATGGGGGACAGGGAAGAGGGAAACAATATCACACAAAGAACCCACACTCTGTCAGAACCGCTCTTGGCATCCGGAGGTGTTCATTTAGGCTTTTCCTGGTTGTACTCATTGTGGGTGTACAATTTTATATATGTGTGTATTTTAACATTTCAACATTTTTCCATGTTTTTTCATATTTCTTTTTATAATTTTTAATGCTTAGGTAAATAGCCCATTCTACTTGGCATAATGTATTTTATTTACTCATGTTTTGGCATTTACATTTGTTTCCAGTTTTTTGCTGTTAGAAATAGAATCTGCTCTTGTCAATGTAGCGTGGACATGACTGTCCCCTGCTCTGAGAAATTGTCTTGGGCTACATTCTGGGAATGAAAGTACTGGATCAGGGGGCAGGAGCTTTTCTATATATACTTGCCACGTGTTCTGCCCCAACTTGCTTTCTCACTGGCAACGTGGGAGGATTTATTGTACTCTTGGTAGCTTTAGGTAGTATCTTAGAAAAAAGATGTTGCTGGTTCATAGTTGAGCGTGGTATTATATTTTAATTTCTATTTTTTTTAAATTATCCAGTAAGGCTGAGTGTTCTCCCACCCCCATTTATTAGTGGTATGTCTGACTTTATGAAATCGCTACTAACACACTAGAATAAATTCCAGCTGGAATGAGTCATTAAATTTCCTGCCTGGTGGATCTCGAGACCCTCTTCCTTAGAGTTTTAAGAGCGGACACTCGTTTGAGGATAATTTGAGTGCATTTCTGTTCTTGGTTAGTGGGCCACCCTAAACCATCATATTAAACAAATAATTTTTTTTTGTAATAAAAGTAACAGAAATAGAAAAATGTGGGCCCTCCATAAAGCTTGGTTATGGCGAGGGCAGTGGTGCGCCTCTTTGGGATGCACCTGCTCTGGAGTTTTCCTTTTTATTCCCTCATAAGATGATCCCAAGCCTTGTGAGGGGGCACTGTTATGTCTACACATGGAGAGGAGCCACAGAGAACATAGCTGAAGCATGCCCACTGGCCCACACCACAATCCCCATAACCTGCCCCCATCAGACACCACTGCTGGGTCCTTCTATCTTTCTACATGTGTTTGCATTACTCTGAATGCTGAATGGAATCGTACTGCAGTCACCACTAACCTACTTAAAAAGAAAACGAAAACATCTGTCACGTTTTTCTACAGAAATGATTTCTAAAATGGATTTTAGTCCTGTGTGTCTCTGAAAAGTTTTCTTCTAAGAGACGGCAGTTCAATTACTGCCACTTGGTGTAATCAAGAAACTGGCAATCCTAGTTTCCAGAACCCTCCAGTGACCTGGAATCAGAGCTTTAAGATTTTTTTCCAGCTTGGTGTCGGGTTTTACCAGCACTCTCTCTGTGTCCTATTCAAATTAGGGAAAGATCTTGCATGCTTGAGAGTCTTGTCAAGGTGGCTCATTGTCATCTTTGAAAAATGATATTATTGATCAATATCTTTGACCAGGCATGTGTAGAATTTTAAAGTTGCCGGGGCCCTGTGTGTGTGTGTGTGTGTGTGTGTGTGTGTCTTAGGGAGGGAGTTGTGGGTATGGGGATAGATTCAAACCCTTGTCAAATCATACATTTTAATGACTCTCCTCATCCAGAGACAGAAAAGTAGGTGCAAAATGGGATTTTGAGTGTTATTTGCTTTCACTGTACCCACCTACTCCTTGAGCACACCTTCTAATTGCTCTAGTGTGATGGCATAAATCCGTGAGATAAGGTTGAGAGGACAAGTTTGAAATAATGATCACCTAAAAAGGGAGGAAAGCAGTGGCAGAAATTCATTCCCTTTCTCCCTTTTCTTGTCTTTTGCCTGTAGGTGGCGCCACAGGTACTGTTTTAGCTTAAATCTGGTGCCATGGGGTAAGCAGGGATGAGGGAGGAGAAGTCTGGATTTTGAGTTATTATCCTTACCAAACCTATTATCCTTACCAAGCAGCTATTTCCCAAGGCAGCTAATGGTTGGCTTCCATGCACAGGGCCTCGGGAAATCAGGAAGTTTCCAGTGGATGATAGCCTTTCTTTCTTCCTCTCAGGC